GGGGGGGGGGGGAGAACCATGGTATGCTACATCTCAATAAAAAGCTGCAAATAAATGGATCAGCATAATAAGGGACCATTGCACACTAGTAATCCTCAGCGTAAAAGTAAAAAAAAAAATTCACTACATCTACAAATTGGAGGGGTTTATGGATCCATTTTTCACTGCCTTTAATTTTCTCTTTAGATAACCAGCTTCTCTTATGGCTTCTATAGCCAGCAAAGGAATGGGATGACTATATCCCTTATATTGTTAAAGAAAGAAAGAAGAATGAGATTGCTAGCTGACATAGAATAATGGTAAGAGAAAGAAATATGGAATGCCCTTTTCAGTCCATTATGTTTGCAATGTATGAACTGTGAATTAAATTCCTACCATGTGGAAAAAATAAATAAATCCTTGTGAAACTCAGGAGCAGCGGCTGTTATTTCATGTCTCTCAGCGTTGATATTCTTTTTCTTGGAACATTCTTTTTAAAAAGCCATTCTTCATGAGCCAGAAATAGTGTGAGCCAAAGCAAAGCTGTCCCCTCACCCAAATGGGCAGAAAAGTGGGGACAGCATGGTTTGTCTTATAGGTAGCCTAATATATAAGGTTGAGTTATGATACTCTCAAACTGGCAATTATTTTTGTTGTCATGTGCTTTCACGTTGTTTCTGGGTTATGACAAACCTAAGGTGGGGTCCATCATGGGGTTTTCTTAGCAGGATCTGTTCAGAGGGTGTTTACAGATGCCGTTGCTTTCCTCTGAGGCTGAAGGAGTGTGACTTGCCCAAGATCATCCAGTGGATTTCCATGACTGAATGGAGATTCAAACTCCTTGTCTATGGATGTTATCACACGGGGAGTCGCGGGGAGAAAGTGGAAATAAACAGGCATGAGCGGAAATCTTTAATTTACGGGATTTGTCCCATTCCACCTCGTCTGATAACTAAATTCGAATTTAAAAAGGGGTTAATTTGAATGCAAACCTGATCTTTTCATTTGTGGGATTTTTGAGGATTTGAAAAGATCAGGTTTTTGTTCGAATTAACCCCCTTTTAAATTCGAATTTAGTTATCAGACGAGGCGGAACGGGACAAATCCCGTAAATTAAAGTCTTCCACTCATCCGGTTTATTTCCACTTTCTCCCCACAACTCCCCATGTGATAACGTCCTAACACTCAATGGGAAGTTCCAGTTATTGAGAAACGGAGACCCTGCTAACGTTTTAATGATGGGAGAGGCGAGGGGATGCCTCCATGACAATTTAATAATGGGGACAAGCGTGACCGGCTATCATACCCTCATGTTTTCTGGATGATTTAGGGATGATAAACTTCCATATGATAATCTCCTCAAACTACTATACAATGCAGGTTCTTTTCTATACCTTCTTTTTCAGATACAAGGCTTGCCACCGCAGCAGAAGAACGTTGAGATTTTATCTCCTAAAAACCTGTCCAGGCTCAGATACTACAGTAATTTAACAATAAATAAATAACAGTACTTTTAGACCAGGGTTGTGCAACAGTGGTCCACTAGATGTTAAGAGCGCAATTCCCATCATCCCAAACTATCAGCTGTGCTATCCAGAACTGACAGGAATTGAACTGCAACATCTAGATTCTAGAGGGCCTCAATTGCCCATCCTGTTCTAGACCAAGGTCTGCTAGCACTACACATCTAAAAGCATTGTGTACCTATTTACTCTTTTTCTTCACCACTGCTATTGCCATCATTTTTGAACCAGAAAAAGTGTGAAAACCTCAGAGGAGTTGGCAATATCTCAGACCGCTTCACGCTACCCAGTTATGGCACTACGATGCCACTTTAATTGCTATGGCTGCATCCTGGGTTTTGAAGTTTTATGAGGCACTAGAGCCCTTTAACAGGGAATTCTAAATACCTGCTCACTAGACTACAAATTCCAGGATTGTACCACAGCAGTTAAAGAGGACTAATAACTGAGTAGTGTGAAAAATTCCTGGACACTTTGTAAAATTCCATGTCTAACGCTGGGCTGTTGCAAGATTAAAACCTAGAGCTGGAAGCACCCTAAACGCAAGGATGACATTCTTCTGAACAACTTCTGTATCTCGCCCTTCCTTCACCATGGCTCAAGCCAGCTTCCAGGTGTTTTACCTTTTTTATCCTACTATGCTCCCATTAAGCTGAAAGACCCATTTGCCTGAGGCCACATAGCTGATCTCTCTGATCCAGTACTTTATCTCACTACCACTTATGGCTTGGGCAAATTGATCTTTGCATTGGCAGAAACAGACAAGTCAGCTTGCCACTGAATCTCTGCATATTGCAGCTGCCCTCCTGATCCTTTGAATGGGCTCATTCATATGGTTGAAGTACTCAGTGCCACACATCCATTTCTGATTAGAAAAAGGAGAAGCGGTACTACTGCTGTCCATCTTCTGGGGATCTGAATGAACAGACATTACATGCAAGTGTTAATTTTACACCACAGTTTAGGCACAGTTTCTGATGAGACTCTTCTTTATACAAGCTCTAATATCAACACACACAATTCATGAGCATCATGCCATTTAGGAGTGGCCTAGATTTCAATGGAATGCTTTGGAGGAAATTTTGTGTAAATGCCACCTACAACTAATTTGGTCCAGACCTCTCTTAGAAAATGGCTTGTCATCCTAAGAGGACATTTGAGGGGCTACTTGGAAGGAATGTGGATGAGTTTTGCTTCCCCTCCATATCCTTGCGTTCAGCTGATACAAACCTGCATAGCTAGGTCCAACATGCCAACCTGCAGACATCCTTAAATACTACAAAATTAGCTTTTGCTGGGGATGCTTCCATTCAGTCTAATGCTATGTCATTGGACAAAAACATGAAATGCTACCATATATACCTTAAAATGAATTGGGAAACCCTCTTAGAAATGCAACAATTAGTATATAGGGTCTTGCTCAAAGTTGGTCTGAAGACCTTAAGGACCTTTGGTTGGCTGAAAGAAGAGACATGCATGTTTTACTATGAATGAATGGTTTTGAGTTTCTTTCCAAATAAATAGTCAGTTTGACCATATGGTAGCTTAACTATATCCCAGGTCTTGGTAAACTTGTTTGCTGCTGAAAAGAAAAAGAAAAAGAAAAAGTTGGTGGGTATATAGCAGTTCACAAAACTAGCATGACATTGGTTCCTGATTATCATTCAGCTTCAAAGAGTCATGAATTTATAAATTAATATCCTGCCTTTACCCCAGTTAGCTCAAGGCAGGGTACATGGGCCTCCTGTTCTCTTCCGGATTTTAAAACAACCCTGTGAGGTAGATTAGGCTGAGAGTCAGTGACTGGGCCAAGGTTACCTGGTGAGTTTCATGGTTCAGTGGGGACTTGATCCTGAACATCCCAAGTCCCATTCGAACCACGAAACCACAAAAGCACTTGGGGCCATGAGAAAAAAATAGGAATGGTAGGTATTAAGAAGTGAAATCCTTGAAAATGAATGGGCTATGCCTAGGTGAGCATATCAAGATTAAAACTGGGCTGAAAATACCCTTCTGGACTTTTGCAGAAAATCATATGGAGTAGGCTAATGAAAGCTGAGTAAGCTGTTCCATTTGAATGAATACTCACTGATGCATCCAGCAATATCAGAACTGCGGGTTATTAAGCCATATTTGCAGACACAAGGACACATCAGCTGCAAACCTGAATTACTACTCTGCCCTCTGTCTAAGAGCCCATGTCTTTTCAAGGCATAATCACTCATGTGGAAGGGAACGAGGACAGCAGGTGTGAGCTATTGGCAAATGGTCTTTAAAATAATTAAAATCCTTTGTTTTGCACATATCTGTTAACCCTGAGAACAGATGACATGTGCTGAAAAATATCTCCCATACCCTTCAAATGTCGCAATTTTGCAGGATCAGTCCCTATTAATCCCCTGCTATTCCACTTTTTTCAGCTGCTTCTAAGATTGTTCCAGGTTCTCTCTCCTCCTCCACTTTCCCCCTTTGTTCTCAGTTTACTTCACTTGCTGCAAACAATTCAAAATGCAAAAATCCTTTGCATTCAATTCAGCAAGAGGGTGATAAGAGAGGAGGGGGTGGAATATTACACTTCCCAGCAGCTCAGACAAAAGCAAACTGCTGCGCCTTCTGCACGTTTGTGTGCTCTCTCTCTCAATAACTTCTACTTTCTTGACTGCGCTCTGATAATACATGGTCATGTTTCCCAGTTTTCAGCTGTGAAATATTGGATGGTTTTTGTCGTTGTATGTCTTCAACTTGTTTCTGACATATGGTGACCCTAAGGCCACTCTATCAAGGGGTTTCCTTGGCAAGATTTGTTCAGAGGAGATTTGCCATTGTCTTCCCCTGCATATTTCTTAATGTAGCAGATGAGCCAGTTACTCCAGTTTTTCTTTTGTTTCGTCTACTATTTTACTATTGTGCC